TCTCCAGACTAATACAAACCGTAGATTTCTAGAGCCTGCTTAGGATCTTTTAAAAATGTATTATATTTGTATCTCAACAAAGTCAGAGAAAAACACCAATGATAAGAGAAAAAAAATCCAGATCTGTTAAAAATTTATTCCAGAAATATTATACGTAGTTGCCTGGAAACTACAATCAGCATGTACAACACAGATAACAAGAAAGTGCTGTGATCAGAAGCATCTCTAAATTGTATTTGCTCTCCCTTGATCTGAGGATTCAAACCAGTCAGCATCCCCAGTGTAAGCTGAATGCTACAAGCTGCTTCGGTTCGCAGAAAAGGCACTGCAGCTGTGTGCGCATTCAGCCCTGTTGCAAGCAGCCTCATAGCAGGAACTGGAGACAGCACAGAAGCCATTACATGAACTCTGTTTAAAGACATCAGTGGTACCGAATATCTCGGACTAAATTTGAGCTCAGCGATAAGACACTTCATTTTTTAATGATACCATCATTTCATAATTTCACTGTACTTCTCCCCTGGAGCTCCAAGTTTTCCTTCTCAACACAGCAAATGACATAAAAATTCGCATTTCAACCCATCACTAAAAGCATTCAAGTATGTTTCAGTTCCAAAATTTTTCACACGGATGTCTTCAAGTACAGATTTACTACACATATCCTAAAATATTTATTCTGGTAAAGAACCACTTTAAGTCACCTGTGATCCACAGAAAATTATCGGTCTATAAAAGACCAGTCAGGACAAGAAAGGTCTTCCTTATCTATACCATGGAATTTTTAGAGTTCTAGCTCTGTGCATAGCTTAATGAAAGCACCTTTGGAAGCTCTGTAATTGTAACTGTGGTATTATCAGGCTACAAATGAAGTTCAAATTACATTAAAATTTATTTTAGATAAAATAAAATCGACATCTTTTACAGTGCTATCATACATTAGTAAACGGCACAAAACAGACCACTAGAAATGCAGTTATCTTAAGACTACAACTCTAAAAGCAGAAAGCATAGCTTAGAAATGCTACTTCAATAATTAGCAATTACCGTCAGGTAACCAGGTAACATGAAGCTATCTTTCCCCAAAACTAAATTGAAACTATTTAACAAAGCGTTTTCACGTTATTTTTATTTTCCTGCTTTCAGTTTTCCAGTTACCACTCTACTGCAGTCTGCTGGAACTACCAATTGAGAAAAAAATGTTTTAAAAGCTAATTAATGACCAAACGTTTAAGATTTCCCCCATCAAAATTAGTTTTCAACTGCAGTGACTGACCTCTTGTGTTTTAAAAACAGGTACTTTAAGCTTTTCTAGTTTTAAAACCGAAACTCAAATAATTCATAAATGTGTATTTCCTGAAGCGCTTCTGATTTCTTTCAGTGTTTAATTTAACCTGCCAAAGCAAAAAGTGTTAGCACACTAATGAGGTTATTAATGGCGGTACCCAATAAAGGTCACGTTCACCTTTTCCAAGGACAAAATCCACATGGTCATGTACAGCGTACATCACTCCCTAGAAAACTTTCTCCAAAATCCTTTCTAACGAATGGCATCGTATGAACTACAAGAAACTGAAGACTAACGGGGCTGAGGAGTATCCTGATAAACGAAGACTGAAGCTGCTTTCAGCCACTTCAGGAGGATTTACATCTAGCCAAGATTTAAACAAAAATCAAACTATTTCATAACCAAGACAAAATTGTTCCCACGTTGTCCAAAGTCAGACTGTGAAGCTCTGTGAGTTACCCCCAGCCTGGCACATTAGCAGAGCCTCATACATCACGGCCTTGAACCCAGCGTACTCCTCACTTCTCATGTGCTTCCCCGCAGTTTTCACATTTATAGTTTTAAATCCTGGCTTTTCACATCTCTTACAAACCAAAACATTTCTAAGTACCAATTCTCAACTAGTTAATCTTATTTTATGTATAGTTAAATATTTTCTACCATTACTGTAGAACTGGCAGCAGCATAACTCAAGAAGTTATTTCTGTAGAGGAAAAAAAATAAAACAATGTGTAATAAAATAAAAGTGCCATTTATTGTCTCTCAACACTTAAACCTCCAGTATGCTTAACAGTCATTATTTTCCTAGCTGATATTTTTCATATACATAATGAATGAGTTGATAGTTTTCCACAATTACTTTCTTCTAAATCCTGCCCTCCCCCCAAAGCTTTGCAAGCACAGCAAACAGATACAGCAACGCTGTTTTCATCTGCGGCGCATTATAAATTCCAATTAGATCAAAACCTTTAGTTACTTCTGAAATTACATTGATAACAAGGGTTCTGCATTACTGGGAACTGCAGCAACTAAAAAGCTACAAGCAGAGCAAAGCATTTGAATAACTAATCAAACTGGACAAATCAAGACACAGACAAAGCTCTCCTCTCTTAAATAATTCACTATCTGCAGAGAATAGAAAATACCAGTTGTAAATAAAAGAATGCCTTTGTAACCAAAACAAGGAGGAGTGAACTACTTCAGTGAGGAATGGTGAGGAAGGCCAAAGTACTGGAAGACTACCAGAATCACAGAATCCCAGACC